AACATTGTTTAGGGCCAAAAGGTGAGGTTAGAGGTGAGGAACAACAGACCGTTTGTGGAAATATCAGTATATCACTAAACCTGCACTCAGCTATCATGATTTAATATATCCTTATAAAGAAAATTCACTTAAACATATTATGAATGCGAACACGAATGCATCAGACCTTTGATCTTGGTGTCGGCTTCAGAAAGAAGGGTGAAGTTATTCTCCATGGCCGACTAAGTTCAAAGCAATTAAGTGACCTATAAAAGAAGAAATACAACTAAAGATGAGATGACTACGAGTTAGTTATTTACTGTATCTATGACAAGGAGAATTCAAGACTTATACAACCTCAAAAAAGACATTTACCAAAAGTACTCGTTGAAATCATCATAATTTCTCCAAGCTGAATGAGGCGCCCGCCCATTATCATTGTGTCTAGCTTCCTGCATAGATGAAGTTGGTTAGCCAGCTTTGAGCTATCTTCCATCCCTCCCCCTCGGAACAAAATGTCTTTGTATGCAACAAGCTCTCTTAGTTTACATATCACTAGCTCTCATAGTTTTATGTATATTTATAAATATACACAAGCATGCACACATACATATACACATATTGTCATGATAATGCAATAATGAGAATTGAAACTACGCCATATGTACATGCACAACAAAACAAATGATCTGCAATGGATGGAACTTCAAATACAAACCAGTATTCCCAACAGTGCAGTAACTTCTGAATCCTTAGTGGTAGCTTATTCAATTCAATATCAACAAGTATGCTCCTATTAGCTATGCTTCTCTGAATCTCGTCATATACTCTCTCAACCCTGCAATGGCACAAGAAGAGAGATGAATCTTTCTGACCAAATAACTTGCAAGCCAGAAATATTTTCCTTAAGGCATCAACTTACCACTTCTTACCCTCAGTATCCAACACAGATGTGAGGACTAACTTGAGGGTATAATAACACTCTTGAACAGCATATTTCATGTATTCGTCCCTTAAAATCCTGTCCCATAGCTCCTCTTGCGAAAGTCTGGGCTCTTTACCCTCAATAGCAGTATCTTTAGCAAGAAATATCTGTGCAAGAGGCAAAAGACATACATACCAGGAAGAGAAATAACAATATG